CGATATCAGCTTGTTGTCAGAGTTAGATAAGCAGATGGGCCGCGTAGCATCCTCGGTGCGAAACAGCAAACCCAGCGTATCTTCGGGAAGAGACCCTGTAGCCAGGAAGACCGCAATGGTGTCATTAAAACGATCAGGGGCCAGACCTCGAAACAGACGCTGATAGACGAGATGCAAAGATTCCAAAACAGTGGGCCCACTTCGAATCCAACATGAATAAGGGAGCCCGTCGGGGCCCGCAGCAGCGTCCTTCAACTTAGCGAAACATGACACGAAGTCGTCGTAGCAAAGCTCCCATTCGACATTTTGCGGTACACGCTGAACGAAGGGTGCCAACTCCAATAGGGCGTCAGGGTCGCAGGCGCGAGCAGCATGCACTTCCCCCCAGTGTTGGGCAAAGCGGCTACACACCGTCTGTGGATCTGTAATATTTTCGCCGGTTGGATCGGCCAGGCAGGCAGGCGAGATCCGACGAGAAGAAGACGCGTGCCAGGCAGAACAGTACTCGTACAGCCGCATGTGCTGAGCGGCCTTGCGCTGAGGAGGAATATCTGGGTCAACGTCTAGCTCGCGGAGTCGGGCCTCGAGCTGGCGAGTTTGCAAAAAACCCAGGGATCTGTGGAACCCAGGCAGGTCGACCCACAAAAACGACTCCCGCTCGGCGTCCGACTCGGCCCCCCTGGCTTCCAGGCGACGCAGAGTCATCCTTGCAGCTAGCTGCAGGACGTCTTTCGTGACCGCCTAGCGCTCGTCGAGATCTTCGGGGACGTCGAGATCGGCAAAAACGTCGTCGCAGGCCTCCCGAAGCCATGGGTGTTTGCTGACCCAGCTGGGAACCCGGAACTCCGTAGGCCGAGAAGTAGGCGACAGCGAAATGCAAACATGGACATGGCCAGAAAGCTCCGATAGATCGGCCGCAGTTCCCAAGACTATACTATTCGGGTTGAGGCTCAGAGGTCGGCGCTGTAGAGATTGACCAAGATGCGATCAAGACGAGCGAGCGAAACCAGAGCGCCATCCTGCACCACTCGATGCGTCGGCTGATCTTGGGTGATCTCGGCAAGCCCAGCAAACAATCTAGCGCACCGGGCAGCGAGACGGCGAGGGTGCATAAAGACATGCCCCGACAGGTGCTGGCGCCCCTCCCCCTCGCAGCAATAGTTGAAGTCCCCGCCAAGAATGCACGTCGCCAGCGAGGGGGGCAAGAGCCAACGAGAGGCAGAGAGAAAAAAGTCGAACTGCTGATTGATGGTCCTGTCGGGGTTATTGTGTAGATCTATGACCCGGAGCACGCCTTCAGGGCCAGACATGGTGAGACAGTGCGCTCTCCCAGGGCTGATAAAGCGATGTCGAAAGTGCATGAACCTTTTTGCCAGCGTAGGGGACACGAGTATGAGGCAACCGCCTTGGAGAGGAGGGAGAGGTCATATTGTGTGCCACGCGTCTCTTGCACAAGGACTATGTGATGCAGCGTAATCATATGTTTGAGTTTGGCAATCTTGAGAGAGTTCAGGGGGTGGTTGGAATGGAGGCTGTTGAACAGGCAGTGAGCATTCCAGCTAGCAATCGAGAGGTGAGCCTTGATCTCGAAAGGCTTGGCATCCGAATGAACATCTATAGACGCCTCGGAACTGCCATCAGAAGATGAATTCGAAGAAGCTGAACTGGACGAAGAGCACCCGCAGGACGAGGACGAGCCCGAAGCAGACGACGACGGTCCCGAACGCGGGTCGCGCCCCACACAGGCGCGAGCAGCATCCCCAGCAACTCCCAGCACCCCCTGCTAGTCGTCACCATAGTTGTCGAACGACGCACCTGCCGACAGAGAAAGAGTAGCAGAAGACAGCGGAGAGCAGGATGAAGACGCCACGTCTGAGGTACGCTCAGGATGGGCACCCAGAGAAGCAGCAAGGCCATCGTCAACAGGCCAAAGGTGCCGGTGAAGGCTGCCGTCGTCATCAGCAGCGTCCGACTGCGATGGAGACCATCAGGGCTCCGCCATTCGAGCGAACTCCCGCGCCTTGTCGCGGGAGATGCCGAACTTGGCGAGGTTCTCGAAGTCCATGTCCAGATGCTTGGCGCCTCCAGTGTCCTCGATCACCGTGGCGAGGATCTCGACGTCGTCGTCCCGGGTGATGAAGAGCATGCCCTTGGGGCCGTTGGAGCCCATGATGTAGTCCTCCTTCCAGGTGCTCTGCTGCTCCATGTAGGCGTGCACCTGCTGCCAGAGCCTACCCAGCAGCAGCTGCTTGGCACGCACCGCCGTGGAGGCATCCATCCTCGCACGTAGCGGCAGGACGTGCTGGCTGCGAGGGGCAGTCCACGTGATCCCGCGCATCTTGAACTGGTCGAGCGCGCCCCTGGCTTGCTCGATGGAGTCGAACTGCAGGGCGCAGGCCCGGTTCCGGTTTTTCGCGATCGGGTAGGCCTTGGCAGCGATGTGCTGCGGGAGGGCGGCCAGGAGGGCCTTGCCGTGCGCGGTCAGGACGCGCTCCAGCATGCGCCGCGGGAATCCGCCGATCCACAGCTTGGACTCGTCGGCTTCGGCCGCCTCGCCAGCAAGCCTGGCAGGACCACCGCGGCCGCAGCCAGAGCGCGCGGCGCCCGGCGAAAAAACGGGCCCACGCCGACAGGGGCGGCTGCGTCGGCGGCTGCTGCATGGCCTGCACCGCCGCCGACAAGTCCCTGACCTGCGCCTCCAGCGCCGTGAACTGCGGCGGACGGACGTCCTCTTCGGATCCGCACGGGTCTCGTGAGACTGGGGCGCACTCCAGCAGCTCCGAGCGGAGCGCGGCAACCCGCCCGTCGAGCGCAGCCATCAGCGCCGCGTTCTCCGCCTGCTCGAAGGAGTTCATCTTGAGCTCGAGGTCGTCAAGGCGCTTGGTGAGCTGGGCGGCTCGCGCGTCCGCGGTGGCAATGTAGCCCTGGAAGTCGCCGCGGGCCACCGTATTCGAGCTGATGCCCTCCAGCATCGAGAAGAGCCGGTCAGCAACAGGGCCAGCATCAAAGCCAAGCCCGCCAGACTGCGCTGCGACACTGCCGCCGAGAGGAGCGAGCGCTACCGGGGTGCCACATGGGGCCGCACCGCCGCCACCGGCACAGCCGCCGCCCGCGAGCCCCTGGCCGCCTGCGGGTGCAGCGGCAGGGGGAGGCGCAACCGCGGGGGCCGAGGCGGGGGCCGCCCGGCCGCGCTAATTGCGAAGGTTGTCCGCGGTGAGCTGGCCGTCGGGGTCGACGGCGCCGCCGCCCTCGTTCGTCGGGTCCGCGTCAGACGACTGCGCAGGCGACGCGGGACTCTGCGCGAAGGGCGAAGGCAGTCCGTCAGGCGCGGACGGCAAGCCACCATCAGCCTCGCCCATGCCGGCGCCCGGGCTCAGCGCGATGGCAGCCTCTCCGTCAGCATCGTCTTCGACCATCAGGGCCTCGTGGGCGCGCTCCTCCTCCGCGGCCTCGGCGGAGCGCTTCTTGGCCTCCGCGGGCGCCGCACGCGGAGCTGCGGCCGAGCCGGGCACCGGGCCCAGCGGGCAGACCACGGGCGCGGGCTCCGCAACGGGCGGGGCAGCAGATGCCCACGGGCCCGCCGCCGCGAGAGGGCCAGGCGGCGCGGGCGGAGGGGCGGCCTCCACCGCAGGGCAGGCGGCCGCGCCAGCCTTGTCCCCGCCCTTCTTGCCCTTCGCACCCTTGGGGGCAGCGCCCGCCGCGCCGCCACGCGCCGACGTGGCAGGGCACGCGGGAGTGATACGAATGATTGCAAAAGCGCGGTGCAGCGCGGCTGAAAGCCTGGCCGAGGCAGCCTGGCCTGTGGGTGGGCTGCCGTTCAACCATGCCTCGAGCCTCTTGAGCCAAAATGGCTACGGAAGGAGGAGGGGGAGGAGGGGGAGGAGGAGGGGGAGGCGGGGAGAGATATGGATAGAGAGAGAGAGGATTAGGATGAGGAGATGGAGACAGCGATGAGGACGAGGAGGGGGTGGCGGAGGTGGAGGATGAGGAGAACCAGGAGGAGGAGCAGAAGGACGAGCACAATGAGGATAGTCAGGATCAGGAGGACGGGGGAGAGAGAGGCAGGGGCGAGGAGGATGGGGCTGAGAGAGACAAGGGTAAAGGAGGGTGTGGTGGAGTAGGGGGAGGGAACTTCTGTGGTGACTCACTGTGCTGGTGTCATCTTGCCGCTCCTTCGCCCTTTGATCCTAATATTTCCTTTTCTCTGCTACAGCGCTTGTTATGCCTGTTCCCCTACCCAGAGGTGCCGTGTCGTCTGATTCTGATGACATGATATGATGTACAGCATGATGAATTTTGTGACCAACGTGTTGGTTGACATGCAAATGCGTTTGGCCACGCATGGTGAAGACATGTAATTTTCATGTTAATAATGGTTCAGCTTGGTGTTGTACTTCCGTTGGTGGTCCCCGACGTTGAACGTGGCAAAGCATAGCATGGCGAAGCATATCAGAGCGCAGCGGTCTGGTGGTCTGGTGGTCTGGTGGTTTGGTGGTCTGGTGGTCTGGTGGTCTGGTGGTCTGGTGGTCTGGTGGCCTGGTGGCCTGGTGGTCTGGTCTGGTGGTCTGGTGGTCTGGTGGTCTGGTCTGGTGGTCTGGTGGTCTGGTGGCTTCTTGGGAGCCTCGTGAGGCTTCATGGAAGCTTGTCGGAACCATCCTGTTGGTTTCTGGGGGCCTCGCGGGGCCGAAGACTCGACGAATCCAGTCGGGTCTTCCGTCCTTGAAGCCGTATGTGTGGACTTTTGAGCCGTCTTGGATGCCTCCTGCAGCGTCTCGGGGCCCTCCTCCACCTCCTTCTTTCGTTGCTTCATTTTTGGTGTATGTTTCTATTCATGGAGTTAAGGATCGTCATCGAAAAAACGTTGCAAATATATGCTCGTTGGTTCTGGGAGTGCCCTTCTGCTGCGCAGCGCCCTCTGCTAGGCAAGGCACCGCGCCAAGCTGATGAACAATAATCCTTGGTGCTGCACATACCTCTTTGCTGTGCGGCACCCTCTGCTAGGCACGACCTCTCCCCAAATTAATTAAACATGAACCCTTGATGCTAGGCGTGCCGCATCTGCTGCGCGATGCCCTCTGCTAGGCAAATACCCCTTTCCTAAGTTGATTTAAAACACATCCTTTGTCCTAGACATGCCTCTTCTGCTGTGCGGCACCCTCTGCTAGGCAAGACCCGTCCCCAAGACGATTAAAACACGCATCCCTGGTGTTAGACATGCACTTTTGCTGTGCTGCACCCTCTGCTAGGCAAGACCCCTGATTCAAAAAAAGTATCCTTGGTGTTAGACGTGCCCCGTTTGCTGTGATGCCCCCTTTGCTAGGCAAGACCCCTCCCCAAGCGGATTGAAAACATCGTCCTTGGTGCTAGACATGCCACTTTGCTGTGCTGCACCCTCTGCTGGGCAAAGCCACTTCCCAATATACGTGTTGTTTTGTCTTTACGGATTTATAAACATACACATATATATATATACACATACATATACATATATATAGATATCGGAGTAGGGCCCCGGGGCGGTGCCTGTAATCTCGATGGGGGGTGCAGGGCGCCCCCGGGAGCGTCCGAAGCGTCCCGGAGGGCCCTTGGGACCGCCAGGAACAGTTCGAGACCGCCCAAGACGGCCCGAAGACGTTCCAAGAGAGCTCCATGAGGCGCCCAAGGCATCCCAAGAGGCCGCCCAAGAGAGCCCCGACAAGCCAAAATCGTTGATTTTTTTTTTTTTTTGGGGGGGGTTTTTGGCCTTCTCGCTTTTTCGGGTTTCCGACGCTCCAAGACCGTCCAAGAGTCTCCCAAAACCGCTCCAAGACGGCCGAAGAGGCCCCCAAGACCGCCCCAAGACGGCCCAAGAGACCTCCGAAATCGCCCCAAGACGGCCCAGGAGAGCCCCAAGATGGCCCAGGAGCCGCCCAAGACGGTTCCAGGAGAGCCCCGACAGGGATTCAAGACTGCCTAAACGAGCCCAGCGGTCCCCAAGAGGGCCCCGCGAGGCCCCAAGAGGCCCCAAAGAGGCCCCCAAGAGCCTCCCCGGAGGCCCCCAAGAGGCCCCCAAGATGCCCAAAAAAGCGCGCCCCAAGACGCCTCCAGGAGAGCCCAACAGGCCTCCGAGAGGCCCACTGGAGGCCCTCAGGAGGTCGTCCCCATCATGTTCCCGGAAGGCGGTCCTGGAACATGATTCCGCGCCTTGGAGGAGTATTCTGCGCTTTCCGAGGCGCCTTCCGAGGCGCCTTGGACGACGTACGTATGTTTCTATAGATTGTCCTTCTCCTGTGTAGACAATCCTACATGTCTTACGTATGTGTCTATATAAACGTGTGTATATATATATAGATAGATGTATATGTATATATGCGTGTATGTATGTTTATATATATACCCCTCCCCCAAGCCCTCCCGAGTCGTGCCACTTCCTTCCACGTATTTCAATTTCTTCCGTGTACATATATATATATATATACATATATATGTGTATGTATACGTGTGTGTGAATATATATATATATATATATATGTATATATATGTAGATACATGCATATATGTGGATATATATATATATATATATATACACATATATAGGCCGTCCAAGAGTCTCCCAAAACCGCTCCCAGACGGCCGAAGAGGCCCCCAAGACCGCCCCAAGACGGTCCAAGAGACCCTCAAAAACGTCCCAAGACGGCCCAGGAGAGCCCCAAGATGGCCCAGGAACCGCCCAAGACGGTTCCAGGAGAGCCCCGACAGGGCTTCAAGACTGCCTAAGCGAGCCCAGCGGGCCCCAAGAGGGCCCCGCGAGGCCCCAAGAGGCCCCAAAGAGGCCCCCAAGAGCCTCCCTGGAGGCCCCCGAGAGGCCCCCAAGATGCCCCAAAATGGCCCTGAGCGTGCCCCAAGACGCCTCCAGGAGAGCCCCACAGTCCTCCGAGAGGCCCCCAAGAGGCCCACTGGAGGCCCTCAGGAGGTCGTCCCCATCATGTTCCCGGAAGGCGGTCCGGGAACATGATTCCGCGCCTTGGAGGAGTATTCTGCGCCTTCCGAGGCGCCTTGGACGACGTACGTATGTTTCTATAGCTTGTCCTTCTCCTGTGTACAGAATCCTACATGTCTTACGTATGTTTCCATATATATATATATGTATATATATGTATATGCATGTATGTATGTATGTATGTATGTATGTATGTATGTATGTGTGTGTATATATATAGACATATCGGAGTCGGGCCCGGGGGCGGCCCGGGGCGGTGCCTGTAATCTCCATGGGGGGTGCATGGCGCCCCTGGGAGCGTCCGAAGCGTCCCGGAGGGCCCCTGGGACCGCCAGGAACAGATCGAGACCGCCGAAAACGGCCCGTGAGCGCTCCAAGACGCGTATAGGTAGCCTCAGGAATGGCCAGGAAGCCCCGAAGACGTTCCAAGAGAGCTCCATGAGGCCCCGAAGGCATCCCAAGAGGCCTCCCAAGAGAGCCGCGACGAGCCAAAATCGTTGATATTTTTTTTTTTGTTCTAAGTTTTTGGCCTTCCCGCTTTTTCGGGGTTCCGACGCTCCAAGACCGTCCAAGAGTCTCCCAAAACCGCTCCAAGACGGCCGAAGAGGCCCCCAAGACTGCCCCAAGACGGCCCAAGAGACCCCCAAAATAGTCCCAAGACGGCCCAGGAGAGCCCCAAGATGGCCCAGGAGCCGCCCAAAACGGTTCCAGGAGAGCCCCGACAGGGCTTCAAGACTGCCTAAGCGAGCCCAGCGGGCCCCAAGAGGGCCCCGCGAGGCCCCGCGAGGCCCCAAAGAGGCCCCCAAGAGCCTCCCCAGAGGCCCCCAAGAGGCCCCCAAGATGCCCAAACATGTCCCTGAGCGCGCCCCAAGACGCCTCCAGAGAGCCCAACAGGCCTCCGAGAGGCCCCCAAGAGGCCCACTGGAGGTCCTCAGGAGGTCGTCCCCATCATGTTCCCGGAAGGCGGTCCGGGAACATGATTCCGCGCCTTGGAGGAGTATTCTGCGCCTTCCGAGGCGCTTACGATTCATATTCTTGAACGCTTTCCGGGAACCTGATTTCTCACCGTTTCGGAACGCCTTCCTTTTGCTGCGGTGCTCTGGGGGGAAGGGACGGGGGTCCGGGAACATGATCGGGAGGTTAGGGAA